TTTGAGGGGGAGAATAGAAGTAATACTGCTGTTTCCGAGTCTCTAGCTTAGAAGGTGAGAAAATCCATTATGATTACGTTGGAATATTAGATAAGGAAAGTCCAACGAATAGTGCACAGTAGTGTTTGGAGATACCTCTTGCTAATTTCAAGTTTGTGTGTAAGTTTACTTTGGATAAAGATACTTAAGATGAAATTTCTTCTTTTTTATGGATAAGACCAATGGCAGAAAATTTCCGCATGTGTTCTTAAATGTTTGAGCATTAAGACTTTGTAGGGGGCTTGTTTTTAGAGGAGGCTTGGCATTTTTGTGGTGTTTGGTGAATGTTACCAACAGCCACTTTTATGTCTGCCCCTTACATTGTCCAACAGGACCAAACTGATGCTTCACATTTATTTACCACAATTTAACTGAAAAGCTTCACTTATTTATTTTATTCTGTCCACTAATTTGAATTAGCTACCTAAAACTTAAAATCTTCATTTTGTAGTATCCGTTTCTCACATCACTCATTCACTTAAGGTTTAAAGTACCGTACGTTCTTCTCTTGAAGGAGAAGAAACCTTCAGAAACTACGGAGGGACTTGCCTCTGTGACTGACTCTTATTGTAATACTGAAATGAATTCATTTAAAAATGCTGAATGACGTGGTGTCTTGTACAGGCTAGTGTCAAGTCATTTAGTATAAAAAATAAGAGTAAACTTAAGAAACATGCTATTCTTAAGGCAGATGGACTCCAAATATATATAGTGCTTTCTAAAGCTTGTTCTTAGTTCCTGATGCAAAGAAAATAAAATCTGTGATGTAACTCTGGGTACTTAGATCTGGAAATGTAAATAGCGTTATCACAGGATGGAAAGAATGGGGGAAAAAAGCATCTTGAAAGTAGATCTTAGAAAACTGGATCAAAATGGAAATGGGTCTCATTAAGGTACTAGCTATGCTATTTTCAAGCTTTATCACAGACAAGAGATGAGGCTGCTGTCCCCCTAATCACTATTAGAATAAGGTTCATGGAAATGAACAGTTTAATAACTAGTTGCTTATGGCAGGACTTCCAGAAATGTGGCTCTGCTATGTGATAATTATTTTATGGAGCAATCCAAAAGAGTGAAGTAG